TAAAATAGTATAAAAAGTTAATTTAGATTATTTTTTATTTAATATAAAAAATTATAAAGATTAATTAAAATTTGAATGATTTTTATTAGAAATAATTATTGATTTTTATATTAAGGTACAAATCTTTTTGTATCAACACATATTTAGTTTAATCTAATAAAGTATTAATAAATTTAAAATATATATTTTTAAGATTTTATATTAAAAAAATAATTAATTATTATTATATATAATTTTAAGATATTAGATTTATAACCAATTTAAATAAAAAATTTAAAAAAAATTAAATAGCTTTATATTTTAATAATATATTAATAAGAAATCAAATTTGATCAAATTTGAAATACATATTCTTGAAATTATAAATATACATAATTTTGAGATATCAGACTTTAAAATTTACAAAAAATTTGAATAAAAAATATAGACTTAAAAGCCTAGTATCTCAAAAATATAAAATAATAATTAATTATTTTTAATATTATGATCTCAAGAATATATTTCAAATTTGATAATATTTGCTTTTCTTGTTAACGTATTATTAAAATGCTAAGTAATTCAATTTTTTTAAATTTTGCATTCAAATTTTTTATTGATCTTAAAAGTTTAACATCTCAGAATTAGTATTAATTATTTTTTTGATATTATAATAATTTATAATTCAAAAATATTTATCCTAAATTTGATAATATTTGCTTTTCTCCTTGACATGCTATTAAAATCAAAAGTTATTCAAATTTGTTGAAGTCCAACCTCTTAAAATTAGTTAATTATTTTTTTGAGATTTCGAAAATATATAATCTTAATATATATTCCAAATTTGATAACATTTACATTTCTTATCAGCGAGTACAAATTTATTTTTTATTTAATATTATTGATTTTCACCTTTTTTTGCAGAACTACAAATTTTTATAGTATTTGCATTTATCATTAATTTTTTAACATTATCATTGGTATCAGATTTTTTGGCAGCGGAAAGGGGAGTTCCCTAAAGCTGTCCGTTGAAAAAAAAAAGGTTTGATTTTTAAAGTGGTAAACCAATCAAATCGCATTTCGGGTTTAAAGCTAAAATTTCCTAATCTTTAATTCATCCAATAGGTATGCGTAAATTTTGTCAATAACCAAACGACCCGGCAAAAGCAAATCACTGTAATTCCAGCCAAATCTCAAGTCAAATTTTATATTTTCGATAAACCGGATTTATTATCAAGTTTGGTTACGTGACCAGCATTACATCATTAACCTGTAAAGTCAATTAAATGAAATAATAATCATAATTTTTAAAACGAAAGGTTTGAAATGTCGGGCTATGAAGATCCAGCATCAACTGCGCTTTACTCTCAGTACGTAATGGAACAAACCGCTCGTAAGTTTTCTTTGATACCAATATTTTCAAATTCTAATTACGTGAAAAAGCATGTCTTTCTTTGAAACTACTGCTCGAAAAACGTATATAAAATCTATTTCATTCAACCTTTAGCAGCTCACACTAATGGAGTGACAGAGCAACAACAACATTCGACAGAAGAAAGTGCTGGTGGTACGCACGCAAAATCAGAAGATGCGTCCGATACCGCAGCAGCACCTCAACAGTCTGATTGGGATCGATATTGGGATATTGTTAAAACAAATCCAGATGTAATAAATGAAAGAACTTAATTAACTGGTTGGGAACAAAATTCTAATAAATATTTTCGTTTATTCAAATTTGCTAGGACTTTGCATCATGGGAATATTTAATTCGACTCGCAGAGACAGCGGAAGGAGGACTAACACCAACATCGCCACCCTCTAATATATCAAACATGCGTATGGTCTACGATCAATTTCTGGCCAAATTTCCATTGTGTTTCGGTTATTGGAAAAAATACGCTGATCTCGAATTTGTGCTGGAAGGTGCCGCCAGTGCCGAAAAGGTTTGCTGCTCGTTATTATCCTTGTTGTAAAAATTGAAATTCTCACTCATTAAATTAAAATTGCTATTCTCGACAGATTTATGAACGTGGTGTTGCTGCTATTGCAAATTCAGTTGATTTGTGGACACAGTATTGTGCATTTAAAATTGAGCACGCGCAGGATGAAGAATCTATTCGAGGGTAAGCAGCACGTAATCAAATTGATGCAAGATTGCTTTTCGCTTTAGCGTATTCGTCTTTTTCTTTGTTATTCCGTATGTTCCTTTATGTGTCGTCGAGTATGCTTTCTCTTTTTCTAAATGCAAGACAGTAATAAGATTAAAGAAAAATTGTTTTTACCGATTGGGAATGGGCTGCTTTATGATATGTTGTGTATATACAAATCTACATCTATTGGATTGTATTCTATAAACAAAACAATAATTCTACGATTTTTGCTGGGGCCTATTCCAGCAATACTCGAGATTGATTGACTAAGGAAGAAAGCTTACTATTAAGGTGAAGATTTTGAGAATGGATACCGGAAAGAATTTTCGATTTTTTCGACCAGAGATGTTTCTCCACAATCAATCAATGAATCAATATATTGCCTTTTTCATTCAGCTTAGCTTGGAGATGGGTCTTTAAACAATAAGTTATAGCTTTGTGTTTGTGTGCTGGTGTATTCGTTTTTCTTGTTTTTACCAATCATATTGTTTTTTGATAACTTACGGCACGGTTTGTTGAAAACTAAAACTTTATCGGGTTTCTTTTAATTTAGGTTATTTGAACGTGGTGCTGCATATGTCGGCCTGGATTTTTTAGCACACATATTTTGGGATAAATATTTAGAATACGAGGAATCTAAAGAAGCATACGATCGTGTATTAAAAATATTGGAACGTATTATACGAATTCCAATGCACCAATATGCTAAATTTTTTGATAAGTAAGTTTTTTCTTTCTTTTTTTACCCTCAATTTTCATACCTCTTATATGATCATATTATGATAGGTATACGCAATTGTGTCCAACACGCCCGGTCACAGAACTTGTTACCCCTGAACAATATCAACAATTTGAAGCAGAAGCAAAGGCTGCACCACCTGTACCACCTTCCGAAACCACAGAGGGTGAGCAACCGCCTGCTCCTGTCGAAAAAGTGATATATTCTATATAAGTTATGGCTTTATTTATCAAATGCTGTTCTATAATTAACATATTTTAATGATAAACAGACCGAAGAGCAGATTCAGGCAGATATCCGAATGCGTATTTATAATATGAATGTAGAAATTTACATGAAAACACAAGCCGAAACGAACAAGCGATGGCCATTCGAATCAGAGGTAAATTTATCCGGGCTGTAATTCATTTATATTTACTCGATAATAATTTTTGATGGATTATAAAATCTATTTGTAGATAAAACGGCCATACTTCCATGTGAAGCCGATGGATGATGTTCAACTTATAAATTGGCGGAGATATCTTGACTTTGAAGAAACAGAAGGTGATGAAACTCGAATTCAAGTTTTATTTGAAAGATGCTTGGTTGCTTGTGTAAGTTTATTATTATCAAATCTATGTGTTTTACAAGTTTTTGCTCAGCATCATTGTTTATATTAAATACAGGCATTATACGATGAATTTTGGCAAAGGTACGCGCGATGGATGTTATCAAAAAACAGAATTGATGACGTCCGAAATATTTATCAGAGAGCCACTTCAGTTTATATTCCTATCAGGTAGCTATATATATTAATATAACGATTTAATCATTTGGCTTTGAGATAATTTATATTTTGTCTTTATCATTCATATAGTCGTCCAAGCATTCATTTATCATTCGCTTGCTTTGAGGAAGAACAGGGCCGAATCGAAGAATCGAGAAACATTTACAAGCACATCATGGATAATTGTCAGTGTATTTTTCAACTCGATATTTTTTAATGAAAATCATTAATTATAAAGCGAAATTTTCGAAATGTAGTGCCAGGACACGTTGAAACGCTATCAAAATATGCACATTTTGAAAGACGGCAGCATTCTAATGATTTGTCTGTCCCCCTCAACATAATTCGGGATGCGATTAAAAGCGAAGCTTTAGTTTCGGACTCAAAGGCTAAGGCTTTTCTAAGTGTGCAACATGCTAAATTGCTGTGGCATGTATGTACTAAAAGTATAGATCGAATTATGTAGAATACGAATAATTACAAATAGTTTCTTATTCTTTAATAGAATCAAGGTTCTGTCGAAGAAGCTCGACGAATATTTCTAGAAGGCTCTACACAATATTTGGATAGTAAATATTTCTGGGTAAATTATGTTAACTTTGAGATAGCACAGACAGGTAAAAATCACATTCCGGATTTTTTGCTAATAAAATGTAATATGTATATCTTATCGTCTTCATTAATTTTAGGTCCCGAAGTGGAAGAAAACTTACGTAAAATATTTGAGCAGATCCGAAATTCTTCATTGAGTTCCGAATCGATACGAGAATTGGCACAACGTTATCTTGATTTCATAATGGAGCGTGGATCTTCAATTTCTTTATATAATAAAATTGACGTTGAAGCAAATGGTCCTATCACTGCACGCCAAATTTCAGATTCGAAGAAACGTGGGCTTGAAGACGAAGAACTCGAAAGAGCAACTAAACAAGTGCGACTTGATGGGGTTGGGGTTGAAAGCCCCGTGAGCGCGAGTCCAACTGCGGTACCCTATGGAGCTACACCTGCTGCTTCTACGGCTGCAGCGCAAGCTTCATATTACTCGCAGACACCATGGGGATATACTGCGGCTGCAGCTGCGAGTACAGGACAGGTATAAAGATAAAAAATATAATAATTTGTTAATTAGACTAGATAAAAACATCATAGTTATAGTTTTTTTCGTTTATCGTGATAATATTTATGATGATAAAAATAATGGTGGTGTTGTTGATATTGAAGATGGTTATTAATAACAATATAATGATGATGAGATAGATTCGATGGTCATGATGGTAATAATAATATATCTTGATACTTCTAATAGAACTATCAATATCAGTATCCACATACACAGCCAGCAACAACTGCATCCACTCCTGGTGCAGCTTCAACACCAACTACCGCTATTCCATGGGATTACACTCAACCAAGTACCACGGGATATTAAATCAGTGTCAGTCGATCAAATACACAAAAAAAGCATTGATTTGTTATTTGTTGCTTTCTCGCTTTTTCATCAAACTATTTATTGATTTATTATTCACAAAGTAATTGCGAGATGTGTTAATATTCTAGGAAAGGAAGGGGACGACTCGTAAGATATTAGTCTGGTGCGATCGAATTGCGTTGGTTTATTTTGCTCTCGTTTTTTTGTTCTTTCTAGTTCATTTCCTTTCAATGCCTATGGATCGTTTCTTTTTTTTGCCTTCATTTTTATAAAAAAGGCAACTAATGTGTGTTTATATATATATATATATATATATGAGCGAGTATGTGAGAGTAGCTCTTTCTATGATGAGAGAAAGACGACGCGTAATAATTCTCCAACTCGAATCAAAGTCTTTGAGGGGACGACGGGCAAAATACGGATAATTAGTATCAGTAATCACGTGTAATTATGGTATAATATTATTATGTATTCTTTTATCATTTTTTACTGCAAATCTTTTTTATGTTATTCGTTCGTTCGTCCGTGTGTTTCTTTGTCTTTCATTCGAATTGGATTTTAATTAATATTGTGATGTTTTGATTAATCGATAAATAAAGATTTTTCAAAATATTACAAATTTATATGATATTAAGAACGCTTGCACGATCCCGCCTGTAATTTTTTCCTTTTAATGCGAACTCCGTTACTACGTAAATGAAAAAAAGAACACGCAATTTTTTCGTTCTCATTTTTGAGCGCGTTTAAATATATTGATCATATGATTTACATGTGACTTGTATATATGGTATTAATGCCATACCGTCTAATGTATCCGATAAAAACGATAGTTAAAAGAAACATGGTCTATACTCGTGCTCAAAAACGCTCACTTGACACACCAGAACAACCAACAAGCAAGCGCAAATCCACCACAAAAAACAAAAATTTCCCTAGTCTTTTCGAACCGCCTAAAATTCTCATTGACTCGACAGATCTCTCGAAAAACGCGGAAATTAATAATTTGCTTCTTGAAAAGGCAAATATAAATAATGTGCAACAACTAGAGAGGTACTTTCGTGTAGAGAAGTATGGAAAAGGTGATGTGTTTCTGGGTGCCAAAGTACCAGATATTAGGAAAATATCAACTTTAGTTGGAGAGTTGAACTTTAATCTATTACGTGAACTTTTGCAAAGCTCAGTCCACGAGAAAAGGTTACTGGCCTTGGTAAATTTGGTGAAGCAATATCAAAAAAGTCATATGGATCCTAATCTCGATATAATTAACAAGGACAATATATTCAAGTTCTATATGGAGATGAGAGAAGGAATTGATAATTGGGATTTGGTTGGTGAGTGAGCGGAAAAGTTTTATTTTATATTGTAAAATTTATGATATACATGAACCTTGTCTTTGGAATCAAGATACCTCTGCTAGTCAAATAGTGGGTGTTCATCTTTACCATGAGAGCGAGGATTTTAAAAATCAATGGATCTATGAAACCTTGGCAGCATCACCTCGATTATGGGATCGGCGAATAGCAATAGTGGCGACACGTTACTTTGTAAAACAAAAGAAATTTAACGACACTTTAAAACTGGCAGAGATGTTTATTGAAGATTCAGAGGAACTTGTACATAAAGCAACCGGCTGGGTTCTAAGAGAGTATGGAGACCAGGTAAATTATTTAGCAACCATAGCATGCACACATGCTATATATATATATATATAATGAACTAAATTTATCTGACTTTTTTTTTAACGTAGAGCATTTCAGGATTGTATCAGTTTTTAAGTAAAAATGCTGCATATATGCCTAGAGTTATGTTTGATCAGTGTGTTCGAAATATTCCGGTAACAATGAAATCAGAGTATCGCAAATTGCGTATTAAAAAATCTAATAAGGAAACAGTACCATGAAATAATGGGACTTGATATTGGTTTTGAGTGTATATTTTTTTTAACTTGTATAGAACTGTTAATTGTATAACAGATAGTATAGCTAGTGATTTGGGTTTGATATTAATTTTAAATATAATATGATAATCTCGAAGAGGGCTTTCTCTAAAATCTTTAAATTGATCAGTTATACAACATTACTTAATACCATAATTTTTGATTATTACAAATGGGAATATTTAAAAAAAATGCTTAATATTTCAAAAATATATTAAGAAATCTGTCTTTAATCATTTGAATTTGTTCGGCTGATATAATGAGTTATTTTCAAAATATTATACATCTTAAGATATAAAAATAATTGCTTACAAATTTTAAAAAAATACAATTATTGAATTAATATTAGTCAAAAATGAATATATTAGTTAAAAATGAATAAATTTTAAATGAAATTATCATGCAAAAAATTTATTTTAAATAAGTTTAATCCGCCAGAACTGTACAAAGTGAAGTTGAGAGACATTCTTTGTAGCATTTTAATTATTCGAGTATGAAATTTTACAAAAAAACTTTTCATTCTTTTGGTATAAAAGTAAATTGAGGAAAGCGACGACTCTAGTTAACGCCTCTTATTATTATCTTTTCGACCATCTTCATTTCTATAAGATTAAGAAAAATAAATAATAATTCAAGTGAGGGTAAATATAATTAAAATTTTTAATGGGAAGTGAAAATAGCAAAGTGTCAAACAATGATACCCATAGTTAAAGGAAAGAAGAGACTTTACGATCCAAGAAAAAATTTTTATTTAATCTATTGAGAAATTGCTTTTTAGCAACGAAATATATTATTGTCTGTTATACCGTCATAGAAACCTCTAATTTTGAAACAAATAACATTGTCTTTTTAAAGCCTCAAGTTTTAACATTTTCTGTATTATATGTATCCAGCACTGGAAAAGTTCCAAAAATAAAAAACCCACCATTTCAAATTCGTAAGTCTCAAAATAAGAAAACTCCCCATTTGAACTGCCCAAAAACGAGTTTCTTATTTTCGAGCATATACGACAGGAACATATTACGAGAAAAATTTTATCATCAGGCGTTTATTGATAATATTAATTACATCTATTGTAAATATCTTTGTAAAAATAACGTTCTCGTAATAATTTGATCATTATGTTTTAAGTAGCGAGAAAGATTAAAGTGACGAAAAAGAAATGAAAAATCCGAAACAAAAATTATACATTAATTAAGAAACATGCGTAAATAATATTATTAATTTACAATTTATCGATAATATTATAACCAACACTACTTCTATTCGTGCCAAATTTGCCTGGCTGTATACGTATAATCAAGTTACCATCGTTCACCTGAATATCGTGATAATCACTCTCAAGTTCGACATCGTGTACAAGATGAATTTCTTTATTTTCTGTTGCCTCCAAAAACCCTTCCCTTACTAATTCATCATCTTTTGCCACTCTGACAATATTCGATACTAACGCCTCGTAATATCCGAAAACCACTTCACCGAGGCTCTGTTTCAACCATTGTTCATCACCTTGACCGTTTTTTACGGCGGTGAGGTATAAATCTTCAAAGTCCACTTTGAATTCGTAGTCTTCACCGATTGCTTGTTTTAGTTTTTTCTTTAATGCAGGACACTTTTTCTCCCATTCGTCACGAATATTCTTTTTTGCTACTAAGGGAAGAACAGAATCAGGATGATGAAGTTTTTGGATAATGTAATAGCCAATGCTGGAATTTGTTCCATAGGATTTCGGGTTTGTTTTTATGTATAAAATGCCATTCTCAAATTGAATGTCATTATATTCATTAATCTCTTCCTATTAAATTACAAGGAAAATATCAATCGAAACTCTTACAAAATCGTAATTTTTAGTAAAAATTATACCTACCAAGAGCACTGCATCATGTTCTAACACGAAGTTTCGAGCTGAAGTCAAATTCAAAAATTCTTGACGAACTAAATCATCATTTTTTGTCACCCGTTCGATATTTTGTACAAGTGATTCAAAGTACCGGAATGTGATGGAACCTAGATTTGAATTATAATAGTCGGTTTGATCCTCATTTTCTTTAATTGCTTGAGTATATATGTCTTCAAAATCAATTTCAAATTGATAATCTTCGCCAAGCGCTTTTTTGAGTTGTTTTTTGAGTGCGGAAATCTTTAATTCCCATTCATCACGAATGTTGACTTTTGCTTTTAAAGAAAGTACACCATTGGGATCTTTGAAATCGTTGACAATATAATAACCTATGCAGGTAGAGGTTTTTCCAAATATGTAAAATATTCTCTGGATAAAAGAAAAGATCGAGCATTATTCATTTTTTTACCTATGCTTGAATTTGTTCCAACTGCGGTAGGCTTTACTTTGATGTATATAGCACCATCAGTAACCTCAATCGCATTATAATCTTCCAATTCGGGATCGATAACAAAATGAATCTTGCGTGTCTCAGTTAATTTAAGAATTTCCTCGCGAACCAACTCATCCTTTTGGGCGATACGTTTAATGTTCCCCGCAAGGGATTCATAATATCGGTACACAATTGAGCCAAGATTCGCGGTATAATAATCGTGTTGATCTTCATTCGCTTTAATCGATTGTGAATAAATATCATCAAAATCGATCACGAAATCGTAGTCTTGATTGAGGGCTTCTTTGATAGTCTTCTTCAAAGAAGGAACATTCACTTCCCATTCATCACGGATATTTTTCTTTGTTTGAACAGGCAAAACTTCAGTAGTGTCTTTTAATTGATTGACAATGTAATAACCGACATCAGAATTAGTTCCAAATGCGTCGGGACGCGTCTTGATATAAATGCAACCATCGGTAACTTCAATGCTATTTAAAAAGTATTAATTTTTTTCCACATGAAAATATTTTAAAAAAAGATATCATGAGAATTTAGAAATACCTATTATAATCATCAAGATCGACGTCACTTACGAGCAAAATTTCGCGTTTCTCGGTCAATTTTATAAGACTTTCTCGGACCAATTCATCCTTTTCGGTAACACGTTTGATATTTCTGATAATTGAATCAAAATAACGAAACGCAATACTGCCCAAATTTTTTGTGTAATAATCGTTCCGTTCTTCGTCAGCTTTTACGGCATCTGCATGAATAGTGACAAAGTCAACACCGAATTCGTAATCATGGCCAGTGATATCTTTGAGAGTTTTCTTGAGTGCAGGAAGTTTGTTGGTAAATTCATCACGGATGTCTTTGCGAGCTGCAAGAGATAAACCTTTCGTAATAACCGACATTTTTTTAATGTAATGACGCGTCTAATTATTGATTGATGGAAATATCATTTATAAGTTATATGTATATAATACACCATACGAAAAGTCATTCCAATTTTTACCTAAAGAAAATAACGACAGATAGGTTATTCTGTTTTAAAATTGAGTTTTTGTAGAAGAATTAAGTTTTTTATGTTCGCTTGACAGGATGGGAAAAACCCATTTTTATATTCATGCCAAATAAAATACTCTTTGCGATTGTGCTCCAAACAATAAATTTAGGTATCATTGTTTTATTATTATTTGTCCCGCATTTCTGCAAGTAATATAAAGTTGTTATGCGCGCAAATTTACGTGTAAGTTATTACTTTTTCCGCAGCCTGCGGCTCAATTAATTCTGGTGATACCCAATGTTAAATAAACTAGATTGCATTGCATTGTAATTTTAATTAAACACTGCCTATTTGTATACCGATACGGAAAAAATCAGAAAAATGAACAGCAAATATTCAGCTCATTTTACGATAAACTGAAAAATTAACATTTCAAGTTCCCAAAAAAACATGAATTTACTTGTTTTTAAGCCTAATTATAATTTTAGTCAACTAAAAAAATTTTTGAAAAAACTACATTTGTATAAAAATTCAAGAATGCTTGTGTTCAGAGAATATTTGAAATATTTGTATCTTTTTTCATTTCAAAGAATATTGATGAGTATATTTATATGTATATAGCTCACATGAAAAAATCTTGTTTCAACTCAAAACTCAGTTATGATGTGTCAAGAAGAATGAAAAGTAAAGTAATAATAATACAATCAGAATTTTTCAGAGTTTACCATATTTTATAACGATAATGCAAAAATTACTAGCATGATGTTTGAAATATATGAGCGTTTACAATATCATAGCTCAATGTAAATTTATTGGGACTTTTATTAGATTTTTTTTTAAATTAAAAATACTTAATCTTGACACAACAAATAATTTAATAAAATGGAAAAAGATATAAAAAATTACCTAATTCAGTATTTACGTATATAAATCTGTTATAAATATTGTAATTATGCTTCTCATATTAATGAGATTTTATAGAGATTTTGTCAGTGAAATGTCGAAATCCATGACAAAAAATTTTTTATCAGTGAAATTTATGCGTCTTGTCATTAATTTAAATACTACTTTTATTGAAACTATCGCGACAACAACGAAATTTAAGGAATTATTATGATTATATTAATGAAAATAAAACTACATAAAAAACTACAGTTTAGAGTAGATTACAGATCTTCTCTCAGATAATGATATTAAGACGAAGTAGTGGTACTTCCATAAGAGGTATTTAATGGACGACCACTCGATCCAACACTATAAGGCGCAGGTTGTGGCTGTCCATGTTGTCGTTGATAATATTGAGGGTTATGTTGTTGTTCTCGTCTTCCACGACCTTCTTGTACAAGACGGTCGTGTTCCGATCTGTATTCGCGTTCTAATTCAGAGTCTTTTGGGAGACATGTGATTAGAATATATGCGAATCCTAAAGCCAAAAACTATAATCATGGAATTGCATCATATTAATATTACAACATTAATAAAATTACGCGGGAACAAAAAGAATATAAATACAAAACCTGAACAATTGCGAGAATTATTCCCCACACGCCAAGCGTAGTCTGATGATGCTTATAAGAGCGGTATAGGCTATCGTAACAGGGAATGTCATATCCAAACCAAGAACTATCGACACATGCACTCGGTGTTCTTTTTGGTACTGCTCGATCCAGCACATCTTTAAATCCACAGCAAGAATACTAGAGATATTATTATGTAAGAGGAATTACTCGAGTAGTCATAGAAAATAGTAAAACTTATGTGACAAAACTTTAACATTACCTCATCTTCAATATCACGAATAAGTTTGGGATGACTGTCATAAGCAGCTTGCCAAGCTTTATCGAGAACTGATTCAACCTAAAAGCGCGAAAAGAAATCAGAGGATCATTCTCACGCATAACGCATTACATCCTTTAGCTTACATTATGAGAGTCGGACAATGCAAGGACTGCCGCGATAACTTGAAGAATAACGAGCACCAACAAAATGACAAAATACTGACAAAAAAATAAATACGAAATTAACAATCCATATTAAAGAGAGGCAAGGATATAATATCATATTATAGCATACAGAAGTCAAAACCGGGCGATTTTCCCATACAGCACCGCAACATCCAATAATCGAAATGATAAACACCAGTAATCCAATGATAATTGTCGCCAGTGGTATTGCACTCGAATAAAGACGAACATCTGGGGAATAGAGTCCGTATATACCAATGCTACCGAGAATTAATCCTACAAGCTATTATTAATAAATTGAGAAAACGTGTAAAGTTTATGTTCGTGTCTATCATTGCCTCTTTCGTTATTTGATAAATCAGGACTCACCAAAGTCAAAGTATTTGTCAGAATAACAAAAGTTCTGGCAGCCGAGACAGAGATCTGGACTGTATTCTGACGCAAGTAGTTTGGCATTCTTATTTATTTTCTTTTAGAAATATGTTAAAAATGATACTTTGATTGTAGTATTTATAGTAATTTTGGTGTTAGATGGCTTGACTCATTTATGAAAGAATGGACAAAACGAAAAAGTTCTATTTACTGGGAGCATAGAAACAAATTAATGGTAAATGATCAAACAAAAACGCCGACCAACTGGTGGTTAAATAACATTTGTTTTGTTTCTTTCGTTAATTTATCAAAATCACATCATCAACTTAAAAATTCTGACGCCAAAAAAAGAGATTAATTTTGATTCATACAATAATCGTAATCCGAGTATAAAGACTGGAAGTTTTTTCACACCTTTACATCATTATTGCTTCATACACACATTTCATATGATGAATTAATGAATTATGGGCGTATATTTAAATATATCAAGGCGTCAAAGCGTGAGATTTTTTTTTATCAGTAACGTGAACATTTTATGCAACTTGAGTAAACATAGTAACGTTTAAATGGTTGGGCGTGCCATTTGTAGTCCTACCCACAGTTTAAAATTTTAGAAAGTAGCTTTAAATTGACCAATCATATTCAATATAATCATGTGTTTAAAAATTACCCAATCACAATTGATTTCCATAGAAAGAATACAAGTAATAGATAATTCGAGCTTTTAATCGGGAACCGAATCGAATTTTTTGGTTCGGCTCGGTTCTAAGAAAAACCGTTCGGAACCTTAAATATAATAAGTTTCATTTTAATATTAAATAATTTGAAAAGAAGAATATAAATAATTATTATTCAATAATATAAGCATTTATATATAATATTTAGAGAACAAGTTTACTTAAGATCATAAAATAAAGAATCTTAGTAAAGTTATTTCATAGATTTGCATTTTATAGTCAAAAATTAGTTTGCAAAATCAATTACATAAATTTTTAAAAAATTAATTTTAATAAGTTATTATATAAATTAATCTTAAGTAAATTTATTTATCAAATATGTAAATTATTTTATTATTTCTGAATGTATAATTTAAAAAGAAATTTTTTTATAATTCCTGACTATAATAAAGTAAAATATAATTTAAGTTATTTTTGTGATTTTTATAGCTATATATTATAAATTTTAGTAGTTAAGCTTATAAGCAGATTTTTGAATATTTTTTATATAAAATATAAATTTATAAAATATTTTACTAAGATTTTTATTATATAATTATAAGTAAACTTATTCTCTAGATTTTTATTATGTAATTATAAGTAAACTTATTCTCTAGATATTAAATAATATATAAAAAATTTATATTATTTAATAATTATTTAATTATTTATAATAAAAAAAACTAATTATTATTTTTTTGTTATTTTTTGTATATTATTATATATATTATTTTGATATAAAAAGTTTATATGAATTTTAACTTTTAATTATATTATTACTAATTTATTTTTTAATAATTAATATATATAAGTAGATATATAAAAAGATTAGATAAATTATTAAATTATAAAAAAATAAATATTTAAGTTTTATATTTATATTTATGAATTTTTGTAACAAGATTTATATCTCAAATAAATATTAATAAATTATTTTTTCAAAATAAAATTTTAATTCTGTCTTATTTAATTAAGTTATTAG